GCATCATAAGCATCATCGGGGTCCCGCTTCTCCAAAAGGACGTCTCTCCTGCAGTCCCGCGTCCCCACCCCTGTAGCTGATCGGCAAAGCTGAATCTCAAACGAAGGCTCTTCCCTCCACGCAGGGAGCTTTCATAACAACATGCAGGTTTCCTCAACCTGAACATGGTCTCGGAGGGCCTGTGCAAAACTAGAACGAGCACGAGGGAAGGAACAGCCGCTCTTTCCGCTGTGAGAGGGGCTTCCAGGCAGTTCTGAGGTCTGTGCGTCATCACACCCGAGACTTGCGGCAGCACATGGAGCCTGAGGATCACAGGATGCTCAAAAAAGGCTGTGTTTGTCTCGCGAATGGCAGGCGGCAGAGAGGCTCCAAAAAGCTCCAAGGATCTGGCGTTGTCACGCGGTTGGCGTAGCCTACGCTGCCAGAGTACTGCTCGACAAGCTTAGGCCTGAAAGGACCGATGCCACGGTCAGACTGCACTGTTCAGCTTTTGCCCATCTCGGGCTGCTGGGGGCCGGGCAGTAGATGTTCCACGGTCCACTGAGAACCAAAGGTATCGGCGATCTCTTTCAGGTGCTGTATCGCGGCCTCGTGGGCGTAAGGTCCCGGAGCTTCCCTTGAGCTAGGAACATGCTTTCAACAGCTGTCCTGACGCACCGAGTGCACGGAGTCGCGCAAGCTGGACAGGAAGATGGTCTGCAGCACGGGCCCAGCATTCGTGCAATCAGTTACATCGCTCCTATGAAAGAGGTGCCACTCTGCAGAATCGAAGCTTAGCACTACTTCATAGAAACCCGAGAAAAAAAACATCGAGACGGCACGACAATCCAGTGTTGATTGCTATCTGAGACGACCCTTTGGAGAGAGGCGACATTGTAAAGGCCTGCGAGTGCTGGTATGCTGGATAACCTTGAATGCATCTCGAGTTGCGGTGTGCCTGGACTACCGTTTAGGGTCCCTTGCAGAGAACCGGTACCACCACTGAACCCTAGGCATGGGACACCTGCCAATGATAGGGAAGGAGACCTGGCCTCCAGCTTGGACTGGAACATCTCCATGCCGAACAGCCGCGACTGAATTCAGGTCATGCTGGGTCATCCGACCGCTAGTTCTGAATTTAATCAGCCCTCACCCTGAGTGTCGGCGCTTCGGGGCAAGTCCAACTAAGCCCGTGACGAGCTTCGGAACTTGCTCTACAACGCTCTGACCTGAAGGCTGTAGGGAGAGGGGCTCAGGGCGTCCAGGCCACAAGCTCGACGTTTTCGCTGTTCAACGGTTGTGGATGCATTGTGGGTCCCTGGCGGATGCGCCAGTGGTTGTCCATGATCAGGTTCTGCACCGTGTGCAAGAGTGAGTGGACCTCAGTACTACTCATCGGAAGTGAGCAGAACTGAAGACGACAATCGGTTCTCACGCAATGCATCCAGTGCTCTCGATTCCGTGCTTGCCACAAATTGGCGAGGTTCCCCCGAAATCTGGGGAAAGAGCCAGACCATCCACACTCAAAACTTCGCAGATGAGGCCGGCATGCGAGACGATATTCAGCCGCACGTCGTGGAACTCGTCCTTCCGTCGCTCGCATTTCCGCCGAAACCCCGGTTTCGGGCCTCTAGGCTTCAAGTGGATGCTTGTGGAACCACATGGCCTCACAAGAGATGACTCTGCCGAGTTTTGTTGAACTTCCGCTTCATTGGTTGAAGGCCCATGCACAAAAAACTTCCTCGACCTTGCGAGCAGATCCGTCCTTCATGAGGTCGGAGATCAGGCCTGCCAAGAGCCAAGACAAGAGGAAGCGGCACTGCCGAGCATGTGCGGAGCGCGAACAGGCCACATAGACTCCATCAGAGAATCGAACTTGCTTTGCAATCCACGCGACATCTGCAATGCAACGAGACAACGTTGCGTGCCAGGGGAGCCATCATCTACTTCAATCCGAACATGGCGGGTGCGCTCAGCAGCTGTCGCTGCGTAACCTTTCGTTGCTGGGCGCTCCACTTCAACTCAAACTACTGCCTTTGCTTTTCAAAACCCCCAAGGCGACCACGGGCGCCACAAAAGCATGCAGAATCAGTCAGAATCAGATCAAGACCGTACCACGCTTCTGCCGTGCCCGAGACATCGCAAGCTGATAGCCAAAGCTCCCCTTTGAACTCCGAAGCGACCGCAAATCCTTGCCAAGTGACGTCACGTCCGAGGGCCTTCGCCACTGGCCCCAAAACTTGTGCCAGGGCCTAAGTTGGACACTAACCAGACTGAGGCCGCCACTGCCCCTCGGTTTTACTGCGACTTTGAGTGACAGATGCCAAAAAAAACGCGAAAAACCTTTTGGAGGTCGGAGGTCCTTCAGGCAGTACTCCATGCAACGACACTCGAAAAGCAGAGCGTGGGCTGCCTAGGCTCGGAGGGCTGGGGCCGATGCGGCTCGCACGGACTGCGCAGGATCCAGGCCCAGGGCTTGGAACTGCGGCCTCGGTACGGAAGGCACAGATCGACCTCTTAAAGGGAGCGAGTCGGAGCGAGTCGGGTCTCCCCCAAGTCAGAGCCCAAGCCAACCTTGAAGTGCGCTGCGTCAACTGAGGCAAGGGGAACGTCTCAGCTTCTGGCAGAATGTGCTGCTGGAGCTGCTCGGATGTGAGAGGCTCTGGCCTTGCACTGGAGGGCACCACATTCGACTTGTCGGAGCAGCACAAGGTATCGGGAGCGGCACTGACTTGGTGACTTCAGGCCCGCGCAGATTGAGACAGGCCTCAATCACCCTCACAGCCTCCTTTCTCACTTCCTGCTCGTTGTCCTGAAGCATCTATAGAAAGGCTATGGTCTGCAATGCCAGCATGGGAGTTGCTCGATTCTTCTCGTAGTGTTGTAGCAGATGACAGCCCCACGCTTGCAGCAGGACTTAGAAAGTCAGCGGTATCTACAACATCCTTATACGATGGTCGCCTCTCAATCGGGCTGTGCAATGCCGTGCACAAAATACGCAAAGCCACAAACTAGCCACAGGTCTAGGCCGGCATGCCTAGCAGCAGACTGCACTGTTACAAGCCAGGCGAGCGCCTTCATGAGCTGGATGAACGGCTGCATCAACTTCTGAGCTGTCAACTCCGGGCCTTTACGACACTGTCTGACTCTGTCGGCTCATGACTCTAGGCACAGAACGCTAATCGCTGGCCTGAAACGCTGGGCTCCAGGCCAAAGGCTTGGCAAAGCTGATCAAAGTTCTTGGCAACTGTCAGCCTGCACAACATCGGCATGACCGGACGTGAAAGTATGCTGCTATCTGTCCCTGTCTATGTACAAAAACACATCGGTTCAATTCTTGGAGCTGCAGGGCAAGCTGATCCTGTTGGAAACCTTCATATTGGCTGCGGTCGCTCGGCCTACAGATGCATCCTTGGCCAGGTATGCCAAGTGAATCTCTGACCCTTACCAACGCAGGGGTTAGGCAGAATCATGCTCGAGGCCGGGCACCTCCCACTTCTCAGAAGACTCAAACCTGATTAAGCCGGCAATCTCGACCCCAACACTGCCAAAACAGTGTTCGCTGGTTCTTGGCAAAATCAGCTACTCCCAAAGGCAACATGGAGGCATCCTCAGGCCTAACACGCCAGGAGCGGTCCTCAGCTGCATCCTGCATGTTTGCGAGGGGGAATGGACAGCACACATCTAAGCCAGGAGGTTGCTCTGGAAGGATCCTTGTGCAAGCACCGCAGAATCTGCTTGACTGTCGCCACAAGCTGCGGCTGCGAAGAATCGACTTTTGCAATGCTGCTAGCAGCCGTGACAGCTGCCAGCCCAGCTGTGGCTAAAAGGAACCATCGATGGGTCTGGATACTAGATATCAACTGCCGGTCCTTGATGACTGCCACGGTATGCTGACGATTCCTTGCCATCAGGTGGGCATGATCAAGAGTCAAACTCTGGTCTTCCAGGTGGCCAGCAAATCTTGCTTCTGAGAGGAAGGCTCGTCGGCATTCAACATCTTGGCAATTACCAGCGTGGCGTGAACGCAGGCAACACGAATTGTGTCCTGAAGTCATGAAAATTGAGAACGCTTTGACTGCGACCCTTGTGGGGGGCTCTGGTTCAGGGCGGACAAGGCGGCAGAAGAGCTCATGTTCGGAGGACAAAACACTTAAGGTACTCTCCGTAGTCTGCAGGTTTCATCCGAGCAAGACGGCCGACGACTTTCTTTTTTTTTTCTTTCGCTCGGGCTGAGGGACCGTCAAAACCCTTTGGCAGTCCCTGGAAACTAATATGACCCATCGTGTAATGCAAAAGTCCCAAGTGCTCCAACCGACACCTGTCTTGCAAACCCCTATTCCTCATGCAACGCAGGGCGAATTACAGGAAGTGGGATCTGGCCCTCTGTCTCTTTCTGTTGTGCAGGGCCGGGGCGCCTGATGAGCGACTTGTCTCAGCCGGCATGTGTCTAATCTCCAGCTATTGAATGCCCGACTCTTGACACTGGTTAACGGCTTAGGATTAAAGGTTGTGTTTTTCTTGCTTGCCCTCGTCGACCTCAAGTCCTGGTTTGTCCGATCTAGCGACAACAGCGACGTTGCTCCCCGTCCTTATCTTTTCCTCTTACGGGCCTTGAGGACCGCTTCCCTTGATTAACGAAGATTGCCCTCGCGTCCTCACGCAACCACATGTCCGATACCCCTGCAGATTCTTGGAACCCACGGATTCGGCTGCAAGCTGGGATCAGGAGCACCCGCTTCCGCACCGGGTCATTGCACTCCCTCTCTCAATCTCACATTATATTCCTCCTTCTTGCTTGCTTGCTTGCTTGCTGGGCGTTTGGGGCGTGGGGTTCCCCCGACTACCCCTGCGCACTCGCGCTACGCCTCTGTCCGTCTCTCTCTCTCTCTCTCTCTCTTCTTCCTTCGGGTTAAAGGAGCTTGTCAGGCTCCCCGGCCCATAGGGCCCCCCAACGTTCTGGGGCTTTCGGGGAGAGCTACACGTACCACAACACGTACCGGGAAGGGCTGCTACTGTACGTGCCCACATCAAGATCAGATCAATCCCCCGGCAGACGCGAACAGATGAAAAAAGGGGTGAATTAAACAACATCAGACTCTTGGGGATTGATCCTTGTAGTGTGGGTTGGTTTTTCCCCTTTCTCCGGCACTGCAGTTGTCTGCCGTTGTTCGGGGGACTTGTCGCAGGAATCGGTGTCAAACAGCGGGTAGATAGGAAGGACTAGGCAACGTTTGTCCCCCTTTCGGCTATTGGGGCAAGTACATGCAGGGACACCATTCCGGGAAGTCATGTACTTGTCAGTCTACAAGAAAGTGTGGAAATTCAACGACTCTGCCCCCCTAGGCTGTGAATGACTTCCCCTGTCACTGAAGCTTCCGAAAAGCGTCGAGGCCCAGGCTTGGCATGGGGGGTTTCCCCCGTCACGGTAGCACAACATCCGAGCTGACACATTGTGCTACAAGTCAAGGTTGTGTTCCCCTGGGCCTCTCACACGTGCCAGCAACGCTACAACTTGTTTACAGAGGGACAGCGAAGTGGACTGCAACGTAACATGCAGTCTAGGCGTCCAGCCAAACATAACAGCTGAATGTCCCCCTATGAACAAGTTCTCCACTGCAGTGTCTGCAAAAACTGAGGCCCAGGCCTGGTGGGAGAGTCTCCCCCGCCACAGCAAAAACACGCTGTCAGGCTAGCTAGGCCCCACAAATGAATCAGGTGCCCCGGGCCTCATCCTAGGTTTGCCAGAACTTCTGCTTGTTGGCGGTGGGACGGTGAAACACACAGCAGCATAATAACAAGATAACACAGACTGACCTAACACAACAAGTCCTTGTCCCCCTACACACAAGCACGTCACTCCCCGCGGGCAACTCTACTGAGGCTCGGACGCGAAAAAGCAGTGAAGGATGTAGACAAAAGATGGGTCTAATGTGCAGTCGCCCGTGAGGAGAGCTCTTCGGAAACTACCGGTCTGTCCTGGTCCTGCACTTTCGAAAAGTCCCCCTACGTCCCAAACCTAAAGCACCTCAGAGAAACCTAGGACCAAAGTGCAGGATCACTTGCTCACTCGTCGCAAGGTCAGGCGTGCTTGTCGCACGAGCTCAGTCCCCCGAAAAGGCTGCCAGCATCCGCCGGCGTCGGTGACTTGCCGAAGAGGACCTCCGGGAAGAGCTTGATCTCGGGCGTCGTGTCCCCTTCTGTCGGGGTGAGGCTTCTCTGGGATAGCGCTGGCTGTCCCCCATGCCATGATGTCTGTCTGCTTCCCACCAGTTGTCTGACCACAGCTCGCGTGTTTCAGGCTGTACCGCAGCTGTTTCCGGGGTGCGTCTGGCAATCCCCCGGACCAGTTGCATTGCTGCTTCCTGAAAAATTGGCAGGGTCTGCACCGGTCAAGCGTCCAAGTCGCGAACCAGTCCCTGCAGTCGTTCCAGCTGTTACTGTTGGCGCCAGTCAGCATCGCCGGCTGGTCCCCCCGGGCTGTGTGCTTGTCGGCTCTCTGTCGGCTGTTCTGTCTCTTGCATCTCACTGTCCCCCGCCAGGAGGAGGTTGGCAGGCGCAATCACCCGCTCCAGCGCACCAGTCACACCTTCCAGGCTTGTCCACGCCGGCCCCGTCATAGTGCCATCCAGGATCATCGTTAGAAGCTCCCTCAACGGAGTCAACAGCGGTGGCAGTTGTGCATGGATCTGCACGTTCCCCGCTGCCATCGTGTTGAGCCACGTCACGATGGAGGCGACATAAGGCGCGACATGGGCGTACGAGAGCTCTACGTTGGGGTTCCTTAGGGAGGCTTGGGCTATGTTGCGCAAATGGCGTGTCCCCTGTAGAGCTTCTGCAGCAGTCACTCCTGCTGAGGTGCGTTGTGGTGTCCCCCCAGGCATCACGTCGCATTCTTCGAGCTCCTCTGCCGTCTGGGTGTCCACGAGTAGATTCAGCAAGGCATGTTCCGCTTGGACTTGAATCCCCCTGCTTTGTGGGGTTCCTATCTCTTGGGAGATTCGGCATATCTCCACTAGGCTCTGCTCTACCTGTTGCCACGAGCGCAACCTCCCGACACTGCTGCTGCTGGGATGTGAGGCTTGTGCTATCGTGGTAGCTGTAGCGGGCTGTGTTTGTGTAGGGGGAGTGGGTGTATGTGCTTCAGTGTTCTCGGGGTTGTTGGCTTGGCTTGTCCCCGGCTGCTGCTGTAGATGCTGTGCAGTCTGCATAAGGCTGGTACTATCCTCAGTCTGCTGTGTGAGGGTTCTCCCTGGCTCTTGGGAACCTGTTGACATTGCCATGGTTGTGGTGACTGTTGTCAGCGGTGGGATGAAAGAGGCGGATGGCTGTGGGTCTGCCCCCTCATCCGGCACGTGCTGCTGCTGCTGTTGCTCGTGTTCCCACTCCGTAGGGGGTGTGAGATCGCCTGTAGTGGATGTCGTGGTGCTCCGTCTGCCCCTGTTTGGCTCAGGCTGGTCTGGTTTTGCCGAGTCCCCCTTGTTCGGCTGTTTGGGTGGGATCTGTCTGCCATCGCGTAGCCTCTCAGCCAAAGGCGTTGCTGCCCTGGTCTGATGGCCACTGGCTGTCTCGCTCGACTGCGGGAGTCTGTCCGGTTGGCTGCTGCGTAGTTTGCGTCCATCGTGTAAGGCCCTGGCAAGTGTCCCCGCCTTGTCGCTGCTGCTGCTGCTCGCGGCTGTGGTGTGGGTGTGGTGTGTCCCTCTGCCTTCTGCAGCCTCCTGGTGGCGGGCTCGCTGTTTGGGGTAGTAGCTGACGGCAGGCTTGTGTGAGGAAGGGGCTGTTGGTGCGCCCTCGGTCTGAGGGTTTTCGACAATCTGCCAGGCTCTGTCGCTTTCACGCTCGCTGCCGCTGGAGATGTCTCTGCGGGGGCCGTGGGTGCGGCCTGGGCTGCTGCTTCTGCTCCTCCAGCTTGCGCGCTGCTGCTGCTGCTCGCATGGCCTTCTCCCCCCGTCTGCAGGAGATGGTATTTCCCCTGTCTCCTCAGTTCTGCCTCCCGGAGACGTCTTGCTTTGTTGGTAATGGGGTCTCTCTCTCTCTCTCTCTCTCTCTCTCTCTCTCTCTCTTCTTCGACACAGTCAGAAGGAAGGCACGTAAGCACCCTCCCCCGCGCGCGAGCGCGCCCTGGTCCCCGAAGTCTCTGTGTGAAAGCTGTTTGCGATGAGGACATCCGGGTTCTGAGCAGCGAACCCCCTGAACGAACACTAAAGAATCCCACCCCCGATGGCCTCATCCGCGAAGTCCACGCTGGCACTGGCATCTACACTCGCAGTTTGTCGCAAGTGTGTTGCTGTCAAGAGTTCCGGCCCCCCGTGCTCAGCAAGTACACAGCTAAGCCCCCTTATCCTAAGCAACAAGAAG